CGCAAAAAAAAAAAAAGCTAGTGAAGAAAACCATTTCTTAATTTTTTAAAATGCGCAAAAAAAAAAAAAAGCTAGTGAAGAAAACCATTTCTTAATTTTTTAAAATGCGCAAAAAAAAAAAAAAGCTAGTGAAGAAAACCATTTCTTAATTTTTTAAAATGCGCAAAAAAAAAAAAAAGCTAGTGAAGAAAACCATTTCTTAATTTTTTAAAATGCGCAAAAAAAAAAAAAAGCTAGTGAAGAAAACCATTTCTTAATTTTTTAAAATGCGCAAAAAAAAAAAAAAAGCTAGTGAAGAAAACCATTTCTTAATTTTTTAAAATGCGCAAAAAAAAAAAAAAGCTAGTGAAGAAAACCATTTCTTAATTTTTTAAAATGCGCAAAAAAAAAAAAAAAGCTAGTGAAGAAAACCATTTCTTAATTTTTTAAAATGCGCAAAAAAAAAAAAAAAGCTAGTGAAGAAAACCATTTCTTAATTTTTTAAAATGCGCAAAAAAAAAAAAAAGCTAGTGAAGAAAACCATTTCTTAATTTTTTAAAATGCGCAAAAAAAAAAAAAAGCTAGTGAAGAAAACCATTTCTTAATTTTTTAAAATGCGCAAAAAAAAAAAAAAGCTAGTGAAGAAAACCATTTCTTAATTTTTTAAAATGCGCAAAAAAAAAAAAAAGCTAGTGAAGAAAACCATTTCTTAATTTTTTAAAATGCGCAAAAAAAAAAAAAAGCTAGTGAAGAAAACCATTTCTTAATTTTTTAAAATGCGCAAAAAAAAAAAAAAGCTAGTGAAGAAAACCATTTCTTAATTTTTTAAAATGCGCAAAAAAAAAAAAAAGCTAGTGAAGAAAACCATTTCTTAATTTTTTAAAATGCGCAAAAAAAAAAAAAAGCTAGTGAAGAAAACCATTTCTTAATTTTTTAAAATGCGCAAAAAAAAAAAAAGCTAGTGAAGAAAACCATTTCTTAATTTTTTAAAATGCGCAAAAAAAAAAAAAAGCTAGTGAAGAAAACCATTTCTTAATTTTTTAAAATGCGCAAAAAAAAAAAAAGCTAGTGAAGAAAACCATTTCTTAATTTTTTAAAATGCGCAAAAAAAAAAAAAGCTAGTGAAGAAAACCATTTCTTAATTTTTTAAAATGCGCAAAAAAAAAAAAAAGCTAGTGAAGAAAACCATTTCTTAATTTTTTAAAATGCGCAAAAAAAAAAAAAAGCTAGTGAAGAAAACCATTTCTTAATTTTTTAAAATGCGCAAAAAAAAAAAAAAGCTAGTGAAGAAAACCATTTCTTAATTTTTTAAAATGCGCAAAAAAAAAAAAAGCTAGTGAAGAAAACCATTTCTTAATTTTTTAAAATGCGCAAAAAAAAAAAAAAGCTAGTGAAGAAAACCATTTCTTAATTTTTTAAAATGCGCAAAAAAAAAAAAAAAGCTAGTGAAGAAAACCATTTCTTAATTTTTTAAAATGCGCAAAAAAAAAAAAAAGCTAGTGAAGAAAACCATTTCTTAATTTTTTAAAATGCGCAAAAAAAAAAAAAAGCTAGTGAAGAAAACCATTTCTTAATTTTTTAAAATGCGCAAAAAAAAAAAAAAGCTAGTGAAGAAAACCATTTCTTAATTTTTTAAAATGCGCAAAAAAAAAAAAAGCTAGTGAAGAAAACCATTTCTTAATTTTTTAAAATGCGCAAAAAAAAAAAAAAGCTAGTGAAGAAAACCATTTCTTAATTTTTTAAAATGCGCAAAAAAAAAAAAAGCTAGTGAAGAAAACCATTTCTTAATTTTTTAAAATGCGCAAAAAAAAAAAAAGCTAGTGAAGAAAACCATTTCTTAATTTTTTAAAATGCGCAAAAAAAAAAAAAAGCTAGTGAAGAAAACCATTTCTTAATTTTTTAAAATGCGCAAAAAAAAAAAAAAGCTAGTGAAGAAAACCATTTCTTAATTTTTTAAAATGCGCAAAAAAAAAAAAAGCTAGTGAAGAAAACCATTTCTTAATTTTTTAAAATGCGCAAAAAAAAAAAAAAGCTAGTGAAGAAAACCATTTCTTAATTTTTTAAAATGCGCAAAAAAAAAAAAAGCTAGTGAAGAAAACCATTTCTTAATTTTTTAAAATGCGCAAAAAAAAAAAAAAGCTAGTGAAGAAAACCATTTCTTAATTTTTTAAAATGCGCAAAAAAAAAAAAAAAGCTAGTGAAGAAAACCATTTCTTAATTTTTTAAAATGCGCAAAAAAAAAAAAAAGCTAGTGAAGAAAACCATTTCTTAATTTTTTAAAATGCGCAAAAAAAAAAAAAAGCTAGTGAAGAAAACCATTTCTTAATTTTTTAAAATGCGCAAAAAAAAAAAAAGCTAGTGAAGAAAACCATTTCTTAATTTTTTAAAATGCGCAAAAAAAAAAAAAGCTAGTGAAGAAAACCATTTCTTAATTTTTTAAAATGCGCAAAAAAAAAAAAAAGCTAGTGAAGAAAACCATTTCTTAATTTTTTAAAATGCGCAAAAAAAAAAAAAGCTAGTGAAGAAAACCATTTCTTAATTTTTTAAAATGCGCAAAAAAAAAAAAAAGCTAGTGAAGAAAACCATTTCTTAATTTTTTAAAATGCGCAAAAAAAAAAAAAAGCTAGTGAAGAAAACCATTTCTTAATTTTTTAAAATGCGCAAAAAAAAAAAAAAGCTAGTGAAGAAAACCATTTCTTAATTTTTTAAAATGCGCAAAAAAAAAAAAAAGCTAGTGAAGAAAACCATTTCTTAATTTTTTAAAATGCGCAAAAAAAAAAAAAAGCTAGTGAAGAAAACCATTTCTTAATTTTTTAAAATGCGCAAAAAAAAAAAAAGCTAGTGAAGAAAACCATTTCTTAATTTTTTTAAATGCGCAAAAAAAAAAAAAAAGCTAGTGAAGAAAACCATTTCTTAATTTTTTAAAATGCGCAAAAAAAAAAAAAAAGCTAGTGAAGAAAACCATTTCTTAATTTTTTTAAATGCGCAAAAAAAAAAAAAAAGCTAGTGAAGAAAACCATTTCTTAATTTTTTAAAATGCGCAAAAAAAAAAAAAAAGCTAGTGAAGAAAACCATTTCTTAATTTTTTAAAATGCGCAAAAAAAAAAAAAAAGCTAGTGAAGAAAACCATTTCTTAATTTTTTAAAATGCGCAAAAAAAAAAAAAAGCTAGTGAAGAAAACCATTTCTTAATTTTTTAAAATGCGCAAAAAAAAAAAAAGCTAGTGAAGAAAACCATTTCTTAATTTTTTAAAATGCGCAAAAAAAAAAAAAAGCTAGTGAAGAAAACCATTTCTTAATTTTTTAAAATGCGCAAAAAAAAAAAAAAGCTAGTGAAGAAAACCATTTCTTAATTTTTTAAAATGCGCAAAAAAAAAAAAAGCTAGTGAAGAAAACCATTTCTTAATTTTTTAAAATGCGCAAAAAAAAAAAAAAGCTAGTGAAGAAAACCATTTCTTAATTTTTTAAAATGCGCAAAAAAAAAAAAAGCTAGTGAAGAAAACCATTTCTTAATTTTTTTAAATGCGCAAAAAAAAAAAAAAGCTAGTGAAGAAAACCATTTCTTAATTTTTTAAAATGCGCAAAAAAAAAAAAGCTAGTGAAGAAAACCATTTCTTAATTTTTTAAAATGCGCAAAAAAAAAAAAAAGCTAGTGAAGAAAACCATTTCTTAATTTTTTAAAATGCGCAAAAAAAAAAAAAAGCTAGTGAAGAAAACCATTTCTTAATTTTTTAAAATGCGCAAAAAAAAAAAAAAGCTAGTGAAGAAAACCATTTCTTAATTTTTTAAAATGCGCAAAAAAAAAAAAAAGCTAGTGAAGAAAACCATTTCTTAATTTTTTAAAATGCGCAAAAAAAAAAAAAGCTAGTGAAGAAAACCATTTCTTAATTTTTTTAAATGCGCAAAAAAAAAAAAAAAGCTAGTGAAGAAAACCATTTCTTAATTTTTTAAAATGCGCAAAAAAAAAAAAAAGCTAGTGAAGAAAACCATTTCTTAATTTTTTTAAATGCGCAAAAAAAAAAAAAAAGCTAGTGAAGAAAACCATTTCTTAATTTTTTAAAATGCGCAAAAAAAAAAAAAAAGCTAGTGAAGAAAACCATTTCTTAATTTTTTAAAATGCGCAAAAAAAAAAAAAAAGCTAGTGAAGAAAACCATTTCTTAATTTTTTAAGACTAAAAAACTTATCTAGATTTAACTTAAAAAAAAGTTTTAATAAAAAATAAAAATTAAAAGTAAAAAGTAAAAAAAATAAAAAGTAATCTTAACAAAAGTGAAAATAAAAAGAACTTATCTAAAACTAAGAACAAAAAATAAAATTATAATTCATCTAAAATAAAACATACAAAATAAAATACTAAGATATTTAAATCAAGTTTTTAGTAACATTCAATAAACATCAAATTTTTTATTTTCACTCATTTTTAATAATATTATAAGAAACTTTTTAAATAAACTAAAAACTTACTTTTAATGATTATTTAATGATAATTATATAATGATTATTAATAAATATGCCAATTTAATTTATATTGTTGTGTTTTTTTAATAATTTAAAATAGCAAGTTTCTATATAAACACACGCTACTTAACAACTACGTGTTTAAAATTTAAAAAAAGTCTTTAAATGTATGTTTAAAAAATTATGTAATTTAAAGTACATAAATTAACTTTTAGTTTTTTAAAAACATGTACAACCATGAACAAACATGTACAACCATGAACAAACATGTACAACCATAAACAAACATGTACAACCATGAACAAACATGTACAACCATAAACAAATATGTACAACCATAAACAAACATGTACAACCATTAATAAACATGTACAACCATAAACAAATATGTACAACCATGAACAAATATGTACAACCATGAACAAACATGTACAACCATGAACAAACATTGGTGACCATTAGGTTTATAATACTAAAAGATTGGAGTGAAGCTAAATCTATTTGTTATAATTTAACCTTTTTGCCTGTAAAACAAAAAAGCAGAAAAATATACAGAAAGATACCTCACACTTTATTGCGTCATCTATTATCCATAAATTAGTAAAATTAACTGTCATTCCACTATAATTGCTCAATACTCTAAGAAAATCCTAAAAATAAATAAATGATTTCTTATTGTATTTTTACAACTATTATATTGCATAGTAAACAACATTTGATTGTTGAATTAAGAGAATATCAGTGAATACGCCTCAACACATACACATGTTTTCCAAAGTTCCAAGAAACAGTTTTTATGTTTTTTGTATTTTTAATCAGAATAAGTCTTTTGAAATTACTGGTACGCAAAAATTAAATCAACTGCAACATTGAATTAAGACTTAAATTACCTCACAATTTAAAAGTTATTTAAAAACGTTGAATTTAATTGTTTTTAAAAAAGAAGAAAATAGGTTTGTTACTAATAAGTAAATCCATAAGAAGCTTAAAAGAAGCCATACTAATGTAGCACATTATAAATAAGTACTGCAGTATCATAATGTATTGTAACAAACCTATTCCAATAAAAATATATTCATGTAGAAAAATTTTTTTTAAATGTTACCTGGTTTTCATGTTCCTTTTGAATATATTCCGGCTTTAAAGTCAACTGCTTTAACAATTTTTTAAGACGAGGGCAATATGTGTCATCAGAACGCAAAACCTGATTGAACAAAAAATAAGATTTTATGCAATTTTCAGCATATAAATATTCACAAGGCATCTTTCAGTGAACACGTTAAAGTTTGTGCATACAAACTTTAACGTGTTCACTGACATGAACACAAATACTTTTTACAAATTGTTTTGTGAAAGAAAATTTTTAAAAAATCTTTTTATCAAAAAATTTGATGAAAAACTTAAAACTTGGGCATTGTAATTCGCATGATATAAGAAAAATTTGTTAAACTATAAAAAAAAAAAAAAAAAAAATAGACAAAAATATCATGAGGTGTTATCACCCAAAATAATTACTAATAATCAAACAAATAACTCTGTATTTCATTAGCTCAAAAAATATGGTAAAAATATTTCTGTAAAAATTAATTGTTAGTATGAAGAAAAGTCTTCATATCCTCAGGAGTCATAACAAACTTCTCAGTTAGTCAGTTTAACAACAAACTTCTCAGCCAAATTTAAACATGTTTTTCTTTTACACCCAAATTACTTAGGGTATAAAAGAAAAATTTGTTTAAAATTAATTTTTTATTAACTTATTAAATAAGCTAATAATAATATACAGGAGTGCACATAAATGCCAAGACAAAATTTCAAATTTGAATTTGGCACTTTGTTGCAGTAGAAGTGTAAACATTTTGCGTTGGAAAATTTAGAACAAGTTAATTGCAACAATTATGATGTGATTTTTTAAAAACACTTTAATTATTATTGTAAAAAATGTCAAAAGAGTTCATAGCACCATTTCATCGAGTGCATGAGATTATTATGAAGTGCATCGAGATTAATATGAAGTGCATCGAGATTATTATGAAGTGCATCGAGTGCATGAGATTATTAAAAAACTGAGGAAGCCGGGACTAATGTCTACAAAGTCCTAACAGCTCTTTAAAGAAGAAGAGAACTTTTGGAAAAAAGTTGTACAAAAATGAACTGTAAGAACCAAAAACTTGCAGTTAATTGTAAGTTGCAAAATAATCCAAACCACACAATTCTTGTCAAAGCTTGCCAGATGTAAAAAATAGTCAAAATAATTTTTAAATTCCTTTATCGCTAAGAATATTGCTAGCTTGTTGCTAGGTGATTTCTCCCCGAGTTTTATGAATATGGAAGTTAAATCAGATTTTCTATTTAAAAAATATAAATTTGAGAGATATTTTAGACGTATTATAAAATGAATGAAACAAAAATTATTCTTTTAAAAATTAAAATTATTATACAATAATCTTAATTAATATCTTAAATAATTAAATAGAATGAAAAATCTAAAACGGCAGATGCTATGAGAGGCTGATGACTTAAATGGCTGATGTTTGTGTAATCTTTCATGATTAAAGAGGAGTGTAATTGTATTTTGGAACACTCTAAAATGATGAGTTTTTAATTTTTAACTATTTTAATTATATATTTATGGTTTTTAATGAGGTTTTTAGTTTAATGCAAATTATTGATTGATTTTGTAAAGTGTTAAGTGAAAGTTAGTTTAATGATAAGATAAAAAAATATAATAAATTTCTTGTTGTTTTTATTACAAGAAAATTACACAAACCCATTCTAGCCTGCACACTAAAACACAGCCTGCACACTAAAATGATATTTTTGTTCATTTTTTGATATTTTAGCAAAAATATTTTTTTTATTTTTGTAAATAACTGTTATTATAACAACTTAAGTCAAAATAAATATTTAAAAACTATTCTGACTATTTTTATATATAATTTATTATAAATAAATTTTAAATTAAAACCAAATATAACAACATTTATGCCAGAAAAGCTAGAATTTCAAGGGACCAATGCAAAGTTTTATTCACAAAGATTAAGGCCTAAAGAGTTTTGTAAATTTCAGTTTTTGCTCCAGAGGGGGTAAAAATCAAATCAAAAGTTAATATTGCATTTTTGAAGGAGCATTTGCTCCCTGATCCAAGTAAAAGATCAAGCAAAAGCAATGGGCTTTTCAACAAGATTCTGCTCCTTTCCAGCCCATCAAGCTAAAAAAACTATCCAGTTTCTTCAAGATGAAATTCCTGATGTTTGGACACCAGATATCTAACGATTCTCATTTAGACAATGATGGAGAATAAATGAAGTGAAGAAAAACCTGTCAAAATGTGGAAGCCCTAAAAGAAACAAACAAAAAAACCATGAGAGTAGAGTCAGGTTAATACCTACATTAGCAAATACATGAAGTAAAGGTGCAAAGCTGGTTAAAAGAAAGCTGGTAAGTTTTATGCTTACCCTGAACAAAGGGCGAATTAAGTGATTACAAATTGCGATATCTGGAAATATTTCTGGTCTATAAATTCTCAATTTTATCATTCTCATTAAAAGCTGTGAATACTATTTTAATCGAAGGGTCAATTTATCAAAATAGGAAAATTTATCAAAAAACAATAAAATTGCAACTGAAAAAAAATAACAGTCAAAACGTTCATAATTTAACTTGTTTGTCAAAACACCAGTTAATTCAAGTTTTTTAATTAAATAATAAAGTTAAAATAATAATGTCTGAAAAATATGAGCGGTTATCATAAAATCAACCAATTAAAAACATGTGCGATGATCTTACTATTTTGAGTATTGTATGAAACCTATTTTGAGTATTGTATGAAACATTAAAACCCAATTTTAGCTAGAGGAAATTTATTTTTTTGAAAATTTATTTTGCTTTGAAAATATATTTATTTAAAAAATTAAATGTTTTAAATTAGACATGAATAGTTGATAATAAAAATAATGATAAATAAATATATGTTAATATATATGTTATAAGAGTTTTTTAGTTTTATTTTTAATTAACTATAAGTTGTTTAAATTAGTTTTTGTATATTTTCAAATACCTCTGTCTTTAATTTTATATAAATGTCTGTACTAGAGAGTAACAATAATTTATTTGTTTTTTTAATTTTTTAAAGATCACAGCTAAATTCTATTAAACTGTATGCTTTGTTTTTCTAGTTGAATCTAATAATTTGTCAAATGAAATAAGATATTGAAGTTTAAATCATAATTGTTAATAATAATAATAATAACAATAATATAAATGTTGTTTTATAATGAGATTGTTTATCATAATTTCAAGATTAATGCACAAATATTTTTTTATTGAGTAAAAGCTATTGAATTTTGTGATAATAACTGTTTACGGTTTTGAAAAATTTAAAAACCAGAAGCATTTCCAGATATTGCAATTCACAATCACTTAATTTGACCTTTGCCTAGGAGGCCATCTACAAGACAATAATCAGATGCAGTTAACATCTGCCCAAGATGAGTATTTTTATCAAGACACCACCTCTAGCATTTACTCAACCAGGGGTATTTAAAGTCAGAATTAACTTCACCTAGACTTAGATTAGATAAAAAAAACACTGTAAATATATTAAATACATTTACAATATTTTTCAGCAGTTCTTGTTCTATATCAATTTTATTTTGGGTATCATTCTTATTTTATTTTTAGCATATGAATAAATTGTCTTTGCATTAGTTTTCATATTAACTAATAACTGTTTTTCATATTAACTAGTAAACTTTTTAATCCTCGGTAACATTCTACTAAACGTTTTGCATTACATTTGCCTATATTATATACTAGTGATGTGATGAATTACACTTTAGTTATGACTATTTTTGATATTTTGAATAGGACTGTACCGGATTTAATTTTTCCAATTCCAGCCAAAGCCGGAGGCAGATTTTAAAACAAAATTACAGGAGCCAAAATCCTGTAGATCCCTACTTGATATTGATAGTGGTCAGCAATGTTGACCACAATCAATATCAAGTACAATTATTATCAATTATTATTACAATGTTTATTGTAATAATAATTGATAATAATTGTACTTTAGAAATATTGGCATAATATATTGGCTAATATATATTGGCTAATATTTTGGTATATATAGCATTATGTGGCAGGAGTGAATTACAATGATCATTGAGGACCTCCCGAGCCACAATGAACAAACGTTTTGATGGCGAACTTGTAGGAGGGGCACCCAAACAAATGCAAGCTGCTGTCGCCGCAGCTTGCAATCGTTGCATGTTATTACTCCACCACTGTAGTGAATCAGTGTGTCTATTTAGTTCTGGTTTTGCCAGATACTGGCTTAGCTGAATGTTAAGGCCTGTTGGTACATGTTGTTCATGTGCTGTATCACCAGCAGACGTAGACTGAACAATTTCATCAATACATTGTCAGAGTAATGATGATGATGAAGAATCCAGCTAGGCTTTTTATGCTGGAATTTCTTTAATTTTGTCAATCTGCTGCTCAGAATGGTCAGATTGACTTCTATCTTGCATCGATACCCTCTGGACTGTAACTTTATTGAATGTATATTTAACACACTTGTGTCTTCACTTTAGACTCTATCATGTGCCTTCACTTCAGAATATTGTGTGTCTTCTCTTCAGAATTTTTCATTGATTTGTTGTTTGTAATTACAAAAGCTAATTAAATTTATATAAGCTAATTAAAGACTTAGCTAATTAAATTGCAAAGAAATGTAAATACAGATACCATTACAAACATGGAGTTCATAGAATATAGAATTACAAATAAAATTGATTTGTATAAATAAAATGTTAAATATACATGTAAACATGGGCAAAAAAGATGTAATAAATATCTGACAAAATTCAGAAATCCGGCTAAAATTTTGCCGGATTTACTAACTTTTAGTAGGAGCTCGATTTGAGCCGGATTTGTAAGATTGGCAGGATTTCAGCTGAAGCTGAAGCCAAAATCCAGTATAGCCCTAATTTTAAAGAATGTAAGAGGAATGGAGAAAGTTTTTTGAAAAAATTTTAATACACAATCCACTTGTTTTATTTTGCGATATTGCTGATTGTTAGATGAAATTAAATAAAAAAGTTAAAATTAAAAGCTGGTTTAAAAATTTAGTATGTTGATTCATATACAAACTATTAAACTGTTATCTATCAAGTTAACTATAAAAATAAAATTCATTTCACAGTTTGAAATTGTATTTTTGATCATCACTTCAGAATAATTAAAATCTCTTACAAGTTTTGAGTATTTATTGCAGTCTATATTGCTTATTGTGTTACATATTATATGTTATTTATACTGTTGTTTTCATGATTCATTTATACTGTTGTTTTCAAAACTATAAGATAATATTTAGAGTATCAGATCTTTTCAATTTAAAAAGTTGAAATAGCTCATGAATATTAATTTCATAAAAAAAATCATTTTATTAATGTTGAATTAGTATACTAAAATGTTGGTATATAAAAATAGTACTAGCATATTTAAATTTTAAACAACTTGTTGTTAATATAGCTAATTATATACAATAATTTTACAATTATATATTATAATTTAGAATTGCTATTTTTCTAAATTAAATTTACAGACATTTCATATCCTTAATACTTTTTTTAACTGTATATATATATATATATATATATATATATATATATATATATATATATATATATATATATATATATATATATATATATATATATATATATATATATATATACACTCACACACACACACACACACACACACACACACACACACACACACACACACACAGATAGTATACTTTACTATAACTATAGTTATAAAATTGATAAAAAAAAGTAAATATAAATTCTTTAGACATCATTTTGTCCTCTTATTAAATTCAAAATTGCAAATATTGTTGAAAAAAAAACAATTTAGAAATAAAAATACTTACCTTTATAACTTTTTGGTCATATTAAAAACTTTTATCATTTAAAAATTTATTAACTTGTATACAATTAAAATTTTTTTTAAATGTAAACTATTTTTCTAATATTTGTTTTAACAAAAATATTGATAATTGAAAACCTGAAAACCCTTCAAGATATTGAAGGGTTTATATAGCATAAGCATTTTTCAAATATCAGAAAACCAAAGTTATGATTACTATAACATACAGGGTCGACATCACCAGGGACAGTGTGAACAGGTATTGGCTGCCATGTGATGTTCTCATTCCACACCTATTATTAAAAATTAAACATAAAAATAATTTTTTAGAAAAAACATAAAAATAAAATTATTTTTAAATTTAAACATACAGCCATATAGAAAATTCATTTGGTTTCTGCTTCAGGGTGTTTGTTCAGAGTTCCTGATTCACCCTTAATGGTGATATATATATATATATATATATATATATATATATATATATATATTTGTTCATTTAACATCTGATTACATCATATGTTTTTTGACTATTAATTGACTATTGTTTAAATAGTTTAAACAATAGTCAACAGGTGATGGAGAAAACCATTTAATCTAACATGTCAAAGTAACCTGCGTAACCATATACGCTATAGTAGATCTATAGGGTAAACACCCCAATTATTACAAATAAATCTGATCTGACGTGCATTGTGGAGCTTCTGACTGAATGTGTGCATGAGTGTCAGCGTAGTCATTAGGTTATTGATCACCGTAACCACATCCAGCGGGATAGCCTAATGTCTGTTTTGTTGTTGTGGTGTACATTGGAAAAAGTCAGGGCTCACCATCCACAGAGAATAAATTTTTTTGTTTATGCAACACAATGATCGCAAAAAGTGACCAATGGAGCTGTCCAGTTACGTAGACCTGGGAGATGTGAAAATAAAAACAAATTGAAGATGATTTCATTTAGGTAAAAAAATATAAAATAATGTAAAGACTATTTAGTAGGAGGAGTAAAACTTAGCAATTCAGGAAGAGAGGAACCAAAACTCACACTCTAGTCATCTTTAGCAAATGCTAAAAAAATGATCTATTAGTAAACAAGACAATAAAAACAGCTGGTTTATTAATAGTATCCATAACTATAAAATAATCGCACCATACAAATGTCTAATAAATGTGGTATATATTATTATGTCTAATAAATGTGGTATATATTATATGTTCTAAAACCTAGATAATAAATTGAAAACTAATAATCACCTGTGTAACATAAAAATATAAAAATGTTGTTGATGTAACAAATTCATAATAAAAAGCTCAAAAATTCATGGGTGTAAGAGGTAAAAAAATGTTGGTGCCATAATAACCAATTAGAATTAAGTAATGGATAAATGATGATTCTTCTCCTCAGGAATGCACTGCGAACACCAATGACGTTTTGGAGAGCCCAAGATCTGCACTAATGCCACTCATCAGGGCCGTGTCCGTGCAGATCTCACTGCCTGCACTCTACGTCATGCTAGTTAATATTGCAATATAATAGGACTACAAAAGCCAAAAAACCCAATCCTTATCCCAGTTTTTAAAAACAGCTCCAACATTCTTAGAGATCTCAAGAAATGAAGAGATGAGATAATGAATGCAATTTTTTACTAACAGCTTATAATCACTAAAAAATGTAAGGTTAAAAAACAATATTGTTGACAAAACAACCAAAGGAACATTAGTGAAGACTGTAGAGTGCAAACCACAACAAACTAACTTAGCGACGTCAGATTGTGAAAATTAGATAGAAACAAAAAACGAGATCGTGATAAGTCTAAACTTATCTAGTAGAATTGTTAAGTATATTCCAACCAAGAATACATTTGTTATAAAAATACGCCAATATGTACTTTTGTGTTAAATTTTTGCGCTGTTATGCTTCTCACAAATATACGGCCTAATTCACACCTAATTATAACACAAATCTGAATAGATATACAAGGATAAGGTAAAAAAAGATTATGAACAAAAGTATACAATAAAGAACAAATATTTGATATATTGATTTTAGAGGCTGTTGATGTCTACAGGTGTGATGGTGTAGTGCATTAATATGTACCATTTGGTTGTCTAGTATTGTCTCGTTATGTTTTCGCTCACTTTCAAATCGGATGAATAGAAAGCTAAACACACTCACTAATAAATAATATCTTAAAAACTTAGGTAATAATTCAAAAAGTAAAAGTTTAGTGTTTTTGTATCTCTTTTACACTGTAAAATCCTCTTTTATTAAAGAATATTGGAAGATGAATGTATTCCACAATGTTTTTTCTTTTGCACCACATTTTATCTGGTTTATCTGGCCATTTACATGTTTTCTTTTGAAAATATCATGAAAATATATTGCTTAATTCAAACTCATTTTTGTTTGTAGTTTCAATGACTCCAGAAAAATATTGCCCCTCATATAAAACTGTAACATAACTTTCCTATGATTTCTATGATTTTTCTGTTGAGAAAGAACAAAAAAAAAACTGAACAGTTATCTAATTATGATCCTCCAGGCAAGTTTCAAAATCATTAAAATTTGTATGACAAGACAAAACTGGTATTGTGCAGATTTCTTTTGAAGACTAATGGAAAATTAGGTTATTAGTTTCTGGTGCATGATTTGACTTATCAACCAAGATTGTGGATATTACTTGTTCTTTGGACAAACAATCGGTATGTGAAGATAAGCTAGGTTTAGAATCATTTGTATTACATGGCAAAACAGGTATTGTTTGGATTTCCCTTGAAGAATCATTGGCATTTGGATAATCCTTTGCTGATACAGGACTTGAAGATTCTTTATTTATGTCGGTTTGCTTAATATTGGCCCAAATTAAATATTTGGTTATAGTTCAGGGCAACTTTTGTAATAAAGATCTTTGAATAACTTAGCTTGTCTTAGACAAAATTGTTTCAATTTTGTTCTCTAATGTTTTCAAATATTCGTTTTGATTAGTTAGAATCCTGAATCTTTTTTCAGTTTAGACTCTTAATTTTGGTCAAGTCAACTCAAGTGTACTCTGGGCCAAATGGGTACCCCTTGCACCAAACCCATTTTTAACATTTTCGACAAAATTTCTCTATGGCTGTCTTCAAGAATGAAATGTTAGTTTTTTAAGTGTCTCAAATGTTAAAATTTTAATTTTAATTTCTAATGTTAAAACTTTAAGGACGTGTCTCAAATGTTAAAACTCTAACTTTTTTTACCGCTTCTTGCAATACGGATTTCAAAAGCCTAATTACAGCCAAAGTCATAGGTTGTAAGATATGCGTAGAATTTGTGTTGAGTGCTATGAATTTATTACCATTGGCAGAGCAGAAATTAAACAGGTACAAAATTATATGTGCTTTGTGTCCATCCGAACAAAATATTATTGCCTTTCTATTCACTGTGCTCTCCTGAGACCGCCAGGGTAAATTTTGGTTTACTTTAATTTTTTTTTTATTACTATTATTGGGTTAAGTGTTCTAAAATAATTTTTAATATCTAAACTTACTTTTTAACATCAAAAATTGAGATTTAATGAATTAAAGTATCTATAAAAATTACGTCATTTTAAGTTTACATCATCTATTCAAAACGGATAAAAAGACTATGTTACCGTAACTTACGGCAATATTTCGTAAAGCATTCGGGTAAAACATACATGTTTTTTGTCAAAATGGCTGAAGCAAAATGTTTAATTTGTGCTTGTTGTTTTATTGCCTTTGGAAAAGGATCAAAAAACTTATTAAAGTAACTACTCCAATGCAACTTCATATTCAAAACTTATTTTGGAGAGAATATGACGTAGACAAAGAGTGTTGTCCGAAAAACATTTGTACTTCTTGCAAAACAAATTTATATGCATTGAACAGGGATGAAACATCAAAGTTGAATGATTGGATTGAAAAAATATCTATAATTTACAGACAAAAACTTAGAAGATCATCTGATTTTAGTGAAATATCTGAACAGATGGCAAATGATAATCAAGAGATCATCGATAGAGTTATTAAAAAGATATGTCCTTCATGCTTTTCTTCAATAGGTATTCTTCAGCAAATTTAAAGTGTTGTACTGTTTTTATTTTCAATTTTTTAAAAATAATTAAATTCTCTATAATAGTTATAAAATAACATATACTTTTAGAATTATATATATATATATATATATATATATATATATATATATATATATATATATATATATATATATATATATATATATATATATATATATATATATATATATATATATATATATATATAAAAAGAAGCCAAGCAAAACAACAATATTCAAAAAATGAATCAATTTTTTATATTAAAATACTACTAAGAAAATATTAAATAGTACTACAGGCCTTTCAGTATTGATCATCAGTAGTACTATTGCAAATGTAATTATCATGATTTTGATTTATGTAAAAAGTTACATAATAGAAGTATTTAAAAGCAGTTTTTGTAACTATGAGTTACCATTGTTATGTTATTATAAAAGGAAGTATTACTTGAAGGTGTCATGTTTTTGTTTATGCAGATAGTTTTCATAGGTCAATAAATTATTTTCATTTTTTAATTCGAGAAAAACATAAAGCTGAAAAAATGGCTCCGTAGTTGTTTTGTGTACTTTCTTGCAATCATATACATGATTGTCGAATCTATCTGTTGAATTGCCAGTTTTGCAACTAGAAATATGTCCATTTGTGCGGTTTCTTAAATTGTTTGTTTTTCCAGTATAAGTAGATAGTCCATTACATGATAAGCATTTTAGATGCTAAATGACATTTTTACTATTACATGTAATGTGACTTTTAATGTTCCAAATTGTGCCATTGGATGTCTCAAATTTATCTACTTCTTGTAAATATAATCGGCAGATTTTACATCGACTGTTTTTGCATTTGAATAATCCCATTTTTTTGACAGATGACGTAGAGTGAAATTTTGAGAGCATAATTTGTCTAAGTAAGTTTGGTGGTTGTTTGTATGCTATTACTGGTTGAATATTTGAAAAAACTTTTTTTAATCTTTTATTATCAGATAAAATAAGTAAAAGGTTAGCTTCAGTTAAAATTGGTTGACAGTTTAAATTATTATAGAAGGTAGTCACCAAAGGAAAGACTTCTTTTGATTGTTTCATTGGCGCTGGCCTTTGTAACTTTGCATTATGAAATGCTTTTTCTATTACATTATCAGGGTAATGACACTTTTTTAACCATATTTTAAGTTCCGTTAGACGTACTTTTTCTGTAGCATAATCAGACGTAAAAACGATTATTCTTTTAGC